GGATCCCACAATCTATAACCAAACTCATCACGCCCAGAGCCAAGAAAAATGCATTTTCTTGACTTGCTATCAAGTTTGGACCTCTCATCCTTTGGAATGTGAACAAAATCTCGGTAACCAAACACTTGCAAGTGCTCATAAGACACATCTTTGCCGGTCCAAACTCTTGCAGGAACATCACCATTCAGAGGATAGGAAGGAGACAGATTGATCACGTCAACCATTGTCCTCATTGCCTTACCCCAAAAGGATCTTGGCAATTTAGCTTGTGAAAGCAGACACCTTGTTTTTTCCACAAAGGTGTGGTTCATCCTCTCGGCAATGCCATTTTGTTGAGGAGTCTTTTTAACTGTCTTTTGGTGCCAAATATGTTGGCTGCGACAATACTTATCAAATGGCCAAGTGTGTTCACCACCATTATCTAATCAGATGCACTTCAATTTCTGCCCTGTTTCTCTTTCAACTATGGCCTGGAAATGCTTAAATACTTCTACAACTTGATTTTTAGTTTTTAATATAAAAGCCCAAACTTTCCTTGAATAATCATCAATGAAAGTAACAAAATAAAGTGTACCACTATGTGTTCTAACTTTCAAAGGACCACAAACATTTGAATGAATCAACTCCAAAACATTTTGTTTTCTAGAAGCAACGTTTTTATGAAAAGAAACTCTATGTTGTTTACCTGCCAAACAATGAACACAAGTTTTAAGATGTGTACCTTTCAAACCAGGTAGAAGCTCTTTTTTGAACAAAACTTGTAGTTTCTTTTCACTCATATGGCCATGCCGCTTGTGCCACACACTACTAAAAATATAACTTTTTGCATCCATTCTTTTACAACTGATTGGTTGACCGTCGCAAAAAAACACCTTTTATATCAACATCTCATTTAACATAACCCCCAAATCGTGCTCTTTAACTTGAAAAAAAAAAAAAACCAAATCGTATAAAACTTGCCCTAGACCCTTTCACTCTTATTTCCCAAATCTGTGTCGGTTTCGCTCTCTCGATTTCGTTCTCGATATTCCTCTCTCGATTTCGCTCTGTTTCTTGTTCTATAAATCGCCATGGTCGTCTGAAGAAGAGACCGGCAACGGTATGAACTCCCCTAACTTCTTTATCTGGTAATCTCTTCGTTCTCCTCCTTTCTCTCTTGAATCTCCTCTTTCTTTGTTTCTTCTTATTTTATGATCTGAATCTACTTCTAGGGTTTGAATCGACGTGTTCACCAATTCTTCTGTTGCATGATGTTGCCTGTCATGATTTTGAAGCGGTTATTTCTTTTTCCTCTTTCATCAATTCTGTTATTTGAATTGCTCTGTTCGGTTATGTGTGTTGAATTTAATCGGGATTGCTAGAATTGATCTTGGCAATTTAGCTTGTGAAAGCAAACACCTTGTTTTTTCCATAATGGTGCGGTTCATCCTCTCGGCAATGCCATTTTGTTGAGGAGTCTTTTTAACTGTCTTTTGGTGCCAAATATGTTGGCTGCGACAATACTTATCAAATGGCCAAGTGTGTTCACCACCATTATCTGATCGGATGCACTTCAATATCTGCCATGTTTCTCTTTCAACTATGGCCTGGAAATGCTTAAATACTTCTAGAACTTGATTTTTAGTTTTTAGTAGAAAAGCCCAAACTTTCCTTGAATAATCATCAATGAAAGTAACAAAATCAAGTGTACCAGTATGTGTTCTAACTTTCAAAGGACCACAAACATTTGAATGAATCAACTCCAAAACATTTTATTTTCTAGAAGCAACATTTTTATGAAAAGAAACTCTATGTTGTTTACCTGCCAAACAATGAACACAAGTTTTAAGATGTGTACCTTTCAAGCCAGGTAGAAGCTCTTTCTTGAACAAAACTTGTAGTCCCTTTTCACTCATATGGCCAAGCCACTTGTGCCACAATTCGGTAGAAGTATCATCTTCAAGTGCATTGATAACACCTTTACAAATTTTTCCTTGCATCGAATAAAGTGTATGAGTCTTCTTGCACTTAGCCACCACCAAAGAACCCTTTGTGAGTTTCCATACTCCATCACTGAATTTGTTATTGAAGCCTTCATCATCTAGCTTCCCAGTAGAGATCAAATTGAGTCGAATGTCAGGAACATGCCTCACATCTTTAAGCAACAATTTGCAGCCCAAATTTGTTTCCAAGCAAACATCATCCATGCTAATAATCTTAGACAAACCTTCATTACCCATTTGAATAGAACCATAATCTCCTTTGATGTAGGTAGTAAAGAAATCAACTCGAGAAGTCACATGATAAGAAGCACCAGAATCAATTACCTAATTGTTCTCTTGGCTCACAAAATTGATACAATCATCTTCATAAATGACCATGAGATCACCATTATTAGTTACTGCTGTTGTGTCTTCTTGCTTCTTATCCACACTTTTGTTATGCCTTTTCTCCTTGTTCTTGAGCTTTGGGTATTCTCGTTTCATGTGCCATTTCTCATGGCAATAATAGCACTCAATGTCTTTCTTTGAAAAAGAACCATCTTTTGATTTGTCACGGCTTTGATCACAACCATGAGGAGTCTTACTCCTCTCCCTTGTTTTGCTTCAGCCTCTTACAACAAATGCTTCCGAATGAAAGAAACCTGCTGATTTTCTTCTAGTTTCTTCATTTAACAAGTTACTAGTGACTTGGCCCATTGTGACAACTCCATCGGGAGCCGAATTACTAACTGTCACAACCAAAGTCTCCCAACTTTCAGGCAAAGCACTAAGTAGCATCAAAACCTGCAACTCATCATCAAAAATAATTTTCATAGAAGCAAGTTGGTTAACAATACTTTTTATTTCATTCAAATGTTCCGAAATAGGGCTATCCTTTTTATATTTTAAATTAACCAACTTACGAAACAGAAAAACTTTATTTGTGGCTGATTTCTTGTCATAACGGCCTTCGAATTTTTTTTTCATAAATCATGTGCCAAGGTTTCAATAGCAACATGATGAAACACATTGTCATCAATCCATTGACGGATAACACATTAAGCCTCTTCCATTCATCATCTTTCATATCATCAGGTTTGACACTATCACCCTCAATAGACCCATATAAATCTTTACAAAATAATAGGTCATCTATTTTAGTTTTTCAAGTTAACCAATTGCTTACGTTAAAGGTAGACATACGACCCACATTCCCCTCTATTGATTTACACAAATAATTAAACTCAAATAAACCGTAAGTTTTGATACCAGTTGTTAGGGAAAATATATGATTCCCCACCAGTAAATCAATCAATGAGAATAAAAACTAATGCGGAAAAATTTAAATCAAAAGCAACACAAAAATTTTTACGTAGTTCCCTCAATGTGAGATATATCTACAGGATCGAAATCCGATTCCACTATTAACCAAAAAATTTCCAAATGATTACAAACGAGACACAAATGGTTTCACAAAATCACCCTTAGGTGAATTCCAAATAATCACAAATAAATAAGAGTAAAAATTTCACCAAATAGATGAACAAACTTCTTCGAAATAGAGTTATAGAAAATCCAAAATAACAAATCAAATCAATTTCACCCACCAACTGAAGATGCACAGCAACAATGGAACCATCAATTGAACTTACGCACCCAAGAATCAATGTTGGCTCCCGAATCTATGTTGGCTGCCAGAGTGTATCACACAGAAGAACATAAACAATATTTATATATATATGTTGTTGAATCTTGGTCTTTTTATCAAAAATTTTAGTTGTTAACAAACTGAATTCGGCCTCCAAAATTAGATATAATATATTAAAAATATATTATAATCAACACCAAACTAAATTTAACTCTTTTAATAAATTAATTGAATCTCATATTCTAATAAGAATATATACCCAACAAAATACTCATTTCTCAAAAAGAACTTTTCGGTATAATTAAAGTAATGAAACAAATGTACCTTTCATGACTTTAAAAGTAAAGTCTTCCACTAAATCAACACGTTTGAAGTTGATCGAATTTGAAGAGGACAACAAAAATATAGGTGAAATATTATTATATTTTATTTATTATTTTAAATGTTTATCTAAATATATAATCTAAACACGGTGACAATAAATCTGAACTCAGACATTCTTTTATTTTATCCCATACTATCATATATGTATTTTCAAAATCCAGCTTTAAAATTGAACCCTTTTACCTGATTGGCTATAAAAACTCCATGATGAAGATTCATGTGCCACCAAATAAAAAAAGCAAATTGGTCCACTACCACTACCTTATTAACAATGCATATACTGCATGACTTGGTTTACAACCGTTATGATTAGTGGAGTTAGAAAATTATTTTAAGAAGCACGGTATGATTGCTGATTGCCTTAGAAAATTATTTTAAGAAGCACACATTAATCCCGAATTAGAAAAAAAAATTCACTATAAGTCCCTACCCCATATTGATTGAATGTGCTTTGCTTGTCTTTTGCACTTTCTATATAAGAAAAATCAAGCCCCATTCGTTTTTCCTATTAATAGAGAGTCACACATTGTTTGACTGTCATAGTTAGTATTCACATTTTTTGACGTGGAGACAGTCTCTATATTTTGTCTTTTATATTATTTTTATCTTCGTAATTTTAATTAATTTTATTTTGATCATTAATTTTAGATTATGTCAATTTGACTTAATAACATTGATTAGGATTTTTTAAAAGAAAATGATTATTAAGTTGGTTGAAATTAACTCATTGAGTTAAATAACTTTATAATTTTGATTATAAAAGCATAACACATGCATTAAAATAACAGAGTCTAAATAACACAAAAATAATGTACAAGAACTAGCGATGTAATTTGTCCAAAAATTAACCGGTCTACGTTCTTCTCGCACCTTGTTCCCGCCATCTCCTCATTGCTCTCTTTCTGAAAGACCCACCAGAAAATTTGTCCAGGCGAGTGAGTTAGTGGATGGAAGAATTTCCTATGCAACTTTTCAATCAACCCAATTGTACATAATCTATTGATCAATCTTACACAAACACAACAGTTTCTTTTATTAATCAAGAACAATAACTTGGTTCAACATTTATGAAAGAAAGGATTTATGAAAGAAAGGAAACATAGTAAAAACTGTCTGCGTCGAAGTGAGTAGAAGCAACACAACAGCACCCAGAAACGAAATGATTGTCCATGGACTACTGAAGTAATTATGCCTTAATTTTGCAGTCCATATGTTCCGACGCCGTCTACAATGCTCATTGATATCATTGAAAACTTCGGAGTAACAAAAGCCATCGCGAGACACAAAGACGCAAGTAGAGGCTTTGGTAAACATGGCGCAAATAGCATCGTCGTCGCCTAACATATTATTGATAATTCCATTACGATGGAGCAAGCTGACATCCTTGGACGAGTTGATGAGGCAAAACATGAAAGTCAAATAATCCGTGACATATTTAGGGTTCGGATCTTGAAGATGCTGCTCGTGCGCAATTATGTTTCTAAAAAGACACTCGGTCTTCTCTTCAACCGTGAATTGTGGGATTTGCAGTGTCCCATTTTCAAACTTTATATCGAGCAAAGGGGTACTATGATTAGCCTTCTTGAATCTAATCCCCGCCTCATGTAGCTCTGTGGCACAATGTATGAATTCCCATCTCTTTTTCTTCTTTCCATAATTTCTTTCCGCGAGCAGTTTTGCAAATGAATGAGAGGTTACAAGGTGTGCTAGGTCAAGAACATGCTTCACATCATGGGGTAAAACTAAAGAGGAAGGTGTTGAAATCTTTTCAGGACTGGGCCATATAGAGTAATAGTAATATTCCCTAGTGCAAGAATAGTATTGCATGGCTAAATCAATGATATTGTCTCGGGGGTCTGGAATTTTGGTCATTTCAAACATTTGTACAAGGATAAAGAATGGAAGTTGATTTTCAAATAGCAATAAATCGCGCCATATGATATGGTGGATCCACTCCATTTTGAACAAAGGGTCATGCACATCTTGCATACTTGTGATGGTGAATTTGCGAAATAACTCAATGATAAAACAGCTGTCAAGAAGCATCATTACCACAAACTCGTCTTCATTAAGGCTTACAAAGTCTGCATAACATCTACGTGCTCTTTCTTGCAAATCTCTCATGGCTACGATGTATCTATCCACGCTCGTCTCATTTCTTCGTTTAAGAAGTTGTTGCAAATTCCATAGTTTGTGTTCTTCCATCACTATGTTGGCTTTATGGTGGTGATATGGGCCTATTGCCAGTATTTCTGGTTCGTAAGCCTTTTCATTTTGTCTGCGAAGTCGATCATACACTCTGTAGATATTACATTCACAGTGCCTATGAGACAGGTGAGTAAGCTTATTGTCTAAATGAACGGAGACATGATCTTCAACTCTTGAATTGGGCACCATATCTCATAAAATTAGTGGAAACTCTGTCAAAACAAAATCAACAAAAATAAAATTTGTTAACCCAAAAAAAAAAAAAAAGATTAAAAACAGAGGATTGTGCAAAGTGTCTTCATGCGTCACTATAACTAAATATAAATAAATTAACACTACTAGAAATATGGTCTTTTGCGTCTATTTTTTTACGACCGATTGTTTGACCGTCGCAAAAAGTACTTTTATATCCAAATCCCGTTCTAATTAACACCCAGTCATGTTCTTAAAAAAAAAAAAATAAAAAAAATAATAATAAAAAAAAAAAAAATCTGCGAAGTCGATCATACACTCTGTAGATATTACATTCACAGTGCCTATGAGACAGGTGAGTAAGCTTATTGTCTAAATGAACGGAGACATGATCTTCAACTCTTGAATTGGGCACCATATCTCATAAAATTAGTGGAAACTCTGTCAAAACAAAATCAACAAAAAAAAAATTTGTTAACCCAAAAAAAAAAAAAAAAAGATTAAAAACAGAGGATTGTGCAAAGTGTCTTCATGCGTCACTGTAACTAAATATAAATAAATTAAGTTAAAAAGATGTAGCAGACGCAGGAAGTGTAGTTCATGAAATTAAAATTAAAATTTAAAAAATAAAAAAATGTTTGCAACAACATAGAACTTACAGGTTAGAATCTACAAAGTTGCTCTTCTTGCTAGTTGCTCTGTTTCCTTCTTTGCATATGGGTATGATTGAATTTGAAAATGAGAGGTAGGCCATTTATAAAAAGCACCGAGTCATGAGAAAGAGAGAGGAAATGAGAGTATGCGTTTGTTTGCTTTTGCTTCTGTGAACCAGCATCCCAACTTTTTTGGGATTGACATGAAGCCACTATAAACTGTCTGTTAGCTTGGGTCCACCATCGCTTACTGTTTAAATTGTCGGCATGATAGGATTCATCAAGTAAATATTCAATGTGAAAAATAAAGTTGTTAAAGCATCAGTTACATTGGATTATATAGACGTAAATGTAATTTGAGAATAAATTGCTCATTTTTCTAAAACATAGATTATCTGATTAGGTGGGTGCTAATATCATATTAACTTAAATTTTCACATATTATGATGTTGAACTATTTGAATTCAAAATAGCCCTCACCAACCAACACAGCAAAACTCCGCCCATGGTAAATAATTGAGTTACATGATGAGCCTATTATATGGCATCAATGTTAGAAATTTACTAAAATTTATTCCAAAAAAAATCATGTAATTTAAATTTATTTTAAGTGCAAATTTATCATATGAAAATTGAATCTGAACAACACGTCACTTTTTTTGAATGAATTTTCTACACCAATAACTTTATTAGAAGATAAGTCTCCTCACAAAAAAGAAAAATTATAGTTGTGAGGTTCTCTAAGTTCTTATCCACTACGGATCGTTTGGGCCATATCTGTGTGTCTTGTTCATTTATCAAAATTGTGTTATGTTACAAGAAGATTCGCGCCAAATCATACCAGAAAAAGAATCCAAAGCATCGCATGCTGTGTCCCCTTCTCAGACCCCAGAGAGAGAGGAATGAGAGAGTGATATTGCCTTTCACCTTAGAGCACATCAAGAAAAAATAAGCAGAAGAAAAATAAAAATAAAAACAAAAGCATGGAAGAAATTGAAAAAACAGGGGTTGCAGAAATCGAATTTAGAACCTAGTTTCTTATTTCTACCTACTTTGCAATACCTATTAACCTAAATAAACTGTAAGCTCTGATACCAATTGTTAGGAAAAATCAATGGTGGGAAATGTGGATCGTATATCTAGCTTCAATAGAAGTAATTTGGTAACTTGGAAAACTAAAATGGAGGACCTATTATTTTGTAAAGATTTGTATGGACCCATTCAGGGTGATTGTGGCAAACCCAAGGGTATGTAAGATGATGAATAGAAGAGGCTTAATCGAAAAGCCGTTGGTGTTATCCGTCAATGGATTGATGACAGTGTGTTTCATCATTTTGCTACTGAAACTTCGGCACATGATTTATGAAAAAAATTAGAGAGTCTTTATGATAGAAAATCAATCACAAATAAAGCCTTTCTGTTTTAAAAGTTGGTTAATTTAAAATATAAAGATGGCAGTCCCATTCCAGAACATTTGAATGTAATAAAGAGTATTATTAACCAACTTGCTTCTATGAAAATTGTTTTTGATGATGAGTTACAGGCTTTGATGCTACTTAGTTCTTTGCCTAAAAGTTAGGAGACTTTGGTTGTGACAGTTAGTAATTCGACGCCTGATGGAGTTGTCACAATAGGCCAAGTCACTAGTAGCCTGTTGAATGAAGATATTAGAAGAAAATCAGCGAGTTCCTCTCATTCGGAAGCATTTGTTGTGAGAGGCCGAAGGAAAACAAGGTGAGGGAGTAAGACTCTTCATAGTCCTGATCAAAGCCGTGACAAATCAAAAGATAATTCTTTTTCAAAGAAAGACATTGAGTGCTATTATTGCCATGAGAAAAGACACATGAAGCAAGAATGCCGAAAGCTCAAGAACAGGGAAAAAAGGCGTGACAAAAGTGTGGATAAGAAGCAAGAAGACACAACAGCAGTTACTACCAATGATGATCTCATGGTCGTTTATGAAGATGATTGTATCAATTTTGTGGGCCGAGGGAGCAAATGGGTGATTGATTCTGGTGCTTCTTTTCATGTGACTTCTCGAGTTGATTTCTTCACTACCTACACCAAAGGAGATTATGGTTCTATTCGAATGGGTAATGAAAGTTTGTCCAAGATTATTGGCATGGGTGATGTTTGCTTGGAAACAAATTTAGGCTACAAGTTGTCGCTTAAAGATGTGAGGCATGCTCCTGACATTCGCCTCAATTTGATCTCTACTGGGAAGCTAAATGATGAAGGCTTCAACAACAAATTTGGTGATCGAATATAGAAGCTCACAAAGGGTTCTTTGGTGGTGGCTAAGTGCAAGAAGACTCATACACTTTATTCGATGCAAGGAAAAATTTGTAAAGGTGTTGTCAATGCACTTGAAGATGATACTTCTACTGAGTTGTGGCACAAGCGGCTTAGCCATATGAGTGAAAAGGGGCTACACGTTTTTTTCAAAAAAGAGTTTCTACCCGGTTTGAAAGGTACACATCTCAAAACTTGTGTTCATTGTTTGGCGGGTAAACAACATATAGTTTCTTTTCATAAAAATGTTGCTTCTAGAAAAGAAAATATTTTGGAGTTGATTAATTCGGATGTTTGTGATCCTTTAAAAGTTAGAACACATAGTGGTGCACTTTATTTTGTTACTTTCATTGATGATTATTCAAGGAAAGTTTGGGCTTTTATACTAAAAATTAAAGATCAAGTTCTAAAAGTATTTAAGCATTTTCAGGCCATGGTTGAAAGAGAAACACGACAAAAATTGAAGTGCATCCGATCAGACAATGGTGGTGAATACATTAGGCCATTTGATGAGTATTGTCACAGCCAAGGTATTCGGCACCAAAAGACAGTTAAGAAGACTCCTCAACAAAATGGCGTTGCTGAGAGGATGAACCGCATCATTGTGAAAAGAACAATGTGTTTGCTTTCACAAGCTAAATTGCCAAGATCCTTTTAGGGTGGGGCAATGAGGACAGCGGTTGACGTGATCAATTTGTCTCCTTCCTATCCTTTGAATGGTGATGTTCTAGAAAGAGTTTGGACCGGTAAAGATGTGTCTTATGAGCACTTGAGAGTGTTTGGTTGCCAAGCCTTTGTTCACTTTCCAAAAGATAAGATTCACAAGCTAAATTGCCAAGATCCTTTTGGGGTGAGGCATTGAAGACAGCGGTTGACGTGATCAATTTGTCTCCTTCCTATCCTTTGAATGGTGATGTTCTAGAAAGAGTTTGGACCGGTAAAGATGTGTCTTATGAGCACTTGAGAGCGTTTGGTTTCCAAGCCTTTGTTCACTTTCCAAAAGATAAGAGGTCCAAGCTTGATAGCAAGTCATGACAATGTATATTTCTTGGCTATGGGCATGATGAATTCGGATATTGATTGTGGGATCCAGTCGACAAGAAAATCATTTGAAGCTGTGATGTTGTGTTTCTTGAAGACCAAACAATTAAAGACTTTGGCAAATGTGATCAACCGGAGCTAAAAACTAGTGATCTCATTGACATAGATCCATCTCCTTCATCTTCAGTTGATAATGAAAATGGGAAAGATGTGCAACCATCTATTAAAGATGTAGAGGATGATGCTAATCCTAATGAAGTTAAGCCAGAAATTGAGGAAGAACATCCAACTCAAGAACTGCCATCACAACTTGAGTTAAGGAAATCTACAAGGGACCGACAACCTTCAAGAAAGTATCCTCCCAATGAATTTGTGTTGATTTTCGATCAAGGGAAGCCTGAGAGCTACCAAGAAGCAATTGAGCATGCAAAGAAAGATGATTGGAAAAAGGCCATGGACGAGGAGATGAATTCCTTGCTTGAAAACCACACTTATGATTTAGTAAAGTTGCCTAAGGGGAGGAAAATTCTGAAAAATAAGTGGGTTTTCAAATTGAAGAATGATGACAAGAATCTGAGGTACACAGCACGTCTTGTTGTGAAAAGCTTTGAGCAAAAGAAAGGTATTGACTTTGATGAGATTTTCTTGGCGGTTGTGAAGATGTCTTTTATCCGGGTTGTACTTGGCATGGCTGCAAGTATGAACCTTGAAGTTGAACAACTTGATGTAAAGCTCGCATTTCTTCATGGTGATCTTGAAGAAGAAATTTACATGGAGCAACCAGAAGGTTTTGTGAAAAAAGGGAAGAAAAGAGAAATTTGTTTGCAAATTGAAGAAAAGTTTGTATGGCCTTAAGCAAGCCCCGCGGCAATGGTACAAAAAATATAACTCTTTCATGCTGAATAATGGTTTTTCTAAAACCACTTCGGACCATTGTGTGTAAGTGAAAAAATTTTCGGACGGTAAATTTATTATTCTTTTGCTTTATATTGATGACATGTTAATTGTGGGTCAAGATTCTACCATGACTAACAGTTTGAAATTGGAGTTGAGCAAGTCGTTTGCTATGAAAGATTTGGGGCCGGCTAAACAAATACTTGGTATGAAAATTATTCATGATTGCAAAGAGGGGCTGATTTGGTTGTCTCAAGAGAGCTACACTGAGAAAGTTCTTGAGAGGTTCAAATGGATAAAGTAAAGCCAGTTGGTTGTTCACTTGTGGGTCACTTCAAGCTTAGTTCGAATCAATGTCCTACAAGTGAGAAAGACAAAGAAGAGATGTTGAAAATTTCTTATGCTTCAGCAGTTTGTTCTTTAATGTACGCTATGATTTGTACAAGGCCGGATATTGCTCACGCCGTTAGTGCGGTGAGCTGCTTTCTCTCTAATCTGGGTAAAGAACATTGGGCAGTGGTTAAATGGATTCTAAAATATCTTCGAGGGACTTCGAAGGTGTGTTTGTGTTTTGAGGATGGTAAGCCGATACTTGATGGGTTCACAGATTCTGACATGGCTGGTGATGTTGATTCTTGGAAATCTACTTCGGAGTATTTGATGACTTTTGCAGGGGGAGCTATGGTATGGCAATCAAAAATACAAAAATGTGTTGCTCTCTCAACTACTGGAGTTGAATTTATTGCCATTACGGAAGCTTGAAAAGAAAAGTTATGGTTGAAGAAATTTTTGCAAGAGTTGGGTATGAAGCAAGAAAATTATGTGTTTTATTGTGATAGTCAAAGTGCTATTCATTTGAGTAAAAATTTTACTTTTCATTCAAGATCGAAACCCATTGATGTAAGATACCATTGGATTCGTGATGTGTTAGATTCGAAATTGTTGCAACTCGAAAAGGTTCACACAGATGATAATATTTCAGATGTGTTGACTAAGACTTTGTCAAGGGACAAACATTTAAAGTGTCGAACTTTGGCGGGTATGGTTGATCTCTCCACCTAAGTCGGTAGGGGAAGAATTGTTAGGTATACCTCCTTATTGGAGTGTGAGACCCAATTGGTTTATTAAAATAGTTTAATTTGGTTTGGTATTAGTTATAATATATTTTTATATATTATATCTAATTTGTGAAAACCCAATTCAATTTGGATACAACTAGAATTTTGATAAAAACAAGTTCAAGATTTAACATTATATATATATATATATATATTGTTTTAGTCTTCCAACAAAAAATTAGTACCGTGCGACTGCCCTATTTTTTGGTATTCTTTTTTTGAAGGTGAGCACCCAACTTTTATGATCATTGTGACAAGCATGGTTCTGCGGTTTTGATTCGGTGGTGTGGTTTCAGTTGATGTTTGGTGACACTGATTTGGATTATTATTTTAGATCTTCTACAACTCTAGTTTGAAGGTTTTTTGTTCATCTATTTGGTGAGATCTTTTCTCTTGTTTATTTGTGATTATTTAAAATTCACTTAAGATTGGTTTATGAGATCATTCATGTCTCGTTTGTAATCATTTAGAAACTTATTTGATTGATAGTAGATCAGATTTCGATTCCGTGGACGTACCTCACATTGAGGTAACCGTGTAAAAATTTTTGTGTTATTTTTTATTTAATTTTTTTACATTAATTTTTATTCTCATTGATTGATTTACTTGTGAAAAATCATATTTTTTCTAACAATATATACCATGGAATCTGCAGTGGTGGAACCGTTGTTTGCAATATTAAATCCATTATTATTTACTTTACACTACTACAATAACAATAATGGTAAGTGGGTATAATTCATATCAATAAAGACAGTGGCAATCGATAATAAATTATAATTTTTATGAATGTGACTTTATTATAATTTATTCAATAAAACATTAAATGTTGTGGCAAAGTTTAAAATCATATTTGTTTTCTCCTCTCTGCACCCAGTTGTTGAATGATTATTAGTAATAAAAATAAAATAAAACCGCTCAATCACCTCGTGCATACATTAGTGCTCGCCTCACTTCTCTTCACGCATCTCTTGCCCAAACAATCAAAACAAGACAACAGTCATTTACTCCTTTTTTTCACGGATATATTACAATGACTTTTTTGAAATTTTAAAAAAATATATTAAATTTTATAATTTTAATATAATTATATTAATTTTTTTAATAAGATTAAACGTATCGAAACTAACACAGATATTATAAAAACACAAAATAAATAATATAATATAATATATATATATATTTTAGTATAAAAGAGATAACAAATTTTTTTTTTATCCATATATATAAGCCTCCGTTTGGGAAGTGGGTTGGCTTTTTGGCTTTTTGGCTTTTTTGGCTATTTTAGCCTGGGCTAAAAAGTTTGGTTTGGGAAGGACTTTTTGGCTTTTTGGCTTTTTTGATTTTTTTTGTGAGAGAAGAGTGTAATGATTATGGGTTGGATGTGATGTTTTGTTTGTTGTGGCTAAAATAGCCTGTTTTGTCTTTTGTGGCTATTTTAGCCCCAACCCAACTTGCCAAACACCACCTAATAAATTATTGATGAAAAAAAAATTAAGTGTTACATAAATTAAAATAATAAGAAAACTCAAAGTAATGTCAAAATATATATATATATATATATATTTTCAAATTTCAAGAAAGGTACGTTTAATTTACCTTTTTTTCTATCAATCCACCTGGCAGCCATATTGACCGACTCTCCATTTATGAATTACTTTATATGTGATTCACGCCTTTCACCTTTTTTTTTTTGGGTGGGGTATTATTATTGGAAAATGTAAAAATTTATTGATATAAAGCATAATGAGTACGTTAATAATGATTTCGAAGAATCTATTTTGTCAGCCCCAGAAGAAACGATTTCACAGGAGCTCACGACCTATATGACTTATGGATCTTCAATGAATTCCATCAACCCAATCAGGAAAGTGGACTCTTTGGATCAACCATAACAAATACATCAATAAAAAAAACTATTGGAACAACAACCTTTTCTCAATCCCCCTAAATCTTGGGAATTGTTGTAGGCTCTTTGTTTTTTATGGACAAAAGGAAATTTATTGATGATTTACGTAGTACAAGCGGTACAACAAATTCCAAATTACATCAAGAGGACATGTCTTAAAAACAGAGCAATTGATGAACTAACTATGCAAGTTAATTTAAAAAGTAAGATAATATTTGATACTGTGATGACAGATATGATTTAAGATTTAGGTGAAACATAAGAAAGAATAGAAAATACAGTTTGTAGGATTGTCAAAACAAGTAGCAGGACAGCAGAAAGAAAGGAAAGTAAAGACCATGGACTGTTGAAATAATTCGGCCTTAAGTTTGCCATCCACACGTTCAACCGTTTCTTACAATGCTTATTCAATTTATTGGAGTTTTCTGAATAACTGAATGGGGTGACAGATATCATGATGTTCTTGTCTATCTTGTTCAACATTGTATTGACCACTTCATCCCCTATCCAGTTTTCAATAATTCCACTCCGACGAAGTATCTCAACATCTTGTGAAGAATTGATGAGCCAATTCATGAAGGCGATATAGTCACAAACATATTTCGGATAGGCATCGGGTAAGCATTGCTCGTATGCGCCTAGGTTTCTAAGTGGAGACTCTGTAGTGTGTGTAACTCGTAACTGTGGAATCTCCACTACCCCATTTGTGAAATTTATATCGACTGTACTACTTCTATTAACCATCTTGAATTCAACCCCAGCCTCTTGGAGCTCTGTTGCTGAGTCTATAAAGTTCCAATGCACAATCACATTTTTAACACTGCTGCGAGTTTCAGCAAACGAAGAGCACCAACCGTCATGTACCAAGTTGAGTATGTGCTTGATCTCATGGATTGGTTTTGCATTAGGAACGTCTAACTTTTGATGTGGTAGCACATGTCGCAAGAAATTTAGGGACAACCTAACAATATCATCTTGTGGGCTTTCAACCTTAGTCATGTTGAACAACTCAACGAGGATAAAGAAGGGAAGTTGATTCTCAAATAACAATACATCGCGCCTTAAGACATTGCGAACTAAACACAAATTGGTAAATGGGATCATCCGCATCTATCAATCCCCTCATCTCAAACTTGCGAAACAACTGTTGGCTCCATCCACTACCCACATGGTAATGAGCCCACCATTCACATAGTGTAGGTAGCACCATGTTGTAAAAGAAGGTGGTGGAGGGCTACACCAACTCACTAAAGGAAGATAGTGAGGGTGGCACTACCTTGGCCAATTATGGCTAGCACTTCACCTACTCCTCCTCTCTTGGTTATAAATTGAGATGAGTGAGGAGAGGTTTGTATGATCAGAAATTGGAGAGTGAGAGCTGTGAGTTAAGTGAGTTTCATCTCCTCCTCTGTAATTGTATTTTTGCTCCATTTTAGTGATAATTCTCATTTCTGTCCGTGGATGTAGGCATTGGGCCGAACCACGTAAATATTGTGTTCTCTGTGTGTGTGAGATAATTCTCTGGGTGTCTTTGATCCTAACAACAACTTGATGATAAAACAGCCATCAAGAAGCATCGTTTGCACAAATTCATCTGCGTTGAGATTGATGGAGCCTTCATAGGATTTCTGCGCTCTTTCTTCCGATTCTCTCATGGCCCTGACATATCTATCCACGCTTGTCTCATTTCTTTGTTTAACACGCTTTTGCAAATACCATAATTTGTTTTCTTCCATTTGTTTGAGGTTATCTTTACCATGATGGTAAGGACCAATAGCAAGTATTTCCGGTTCATAGGCTTTCTCATTTTCCCTACGGAGTCTGTCTGGCACTCTGAATATACAACACTCAGTACGTGTTGGAGATAATTGAGAAAGCTTTTCATCGATATAGAGGGAGACATGACCAGAATTTTTTTTGGACATGTGTAAATATCTCCTGTAAATAGAATAAGATATTTTGTGATAAACAAATTTCCAAGAGTTGGCTAGAATAGTACTCGAATTCTCAAACCCAAAATCATATATCGAAATAACTCATAGCAATGAAACATTGGAAAACATTTTGCATGATGCAAAGTTTAGGCTTGAAAAAACAAAATAGGGCAAATTACATTGATAGTCCCTAGATTTTGTCTCTTATGTTATTTTTGTTTCTACACTTTCAATTGGCTCAAATTTAACTATTTATTTTAAATTTTGTGTCAACTTAGTCTAATTAATAATGCTTTAGTGTTTTTGATAGAAAATTATCACTGAATTAATTAAGGGACTCACTAAGTTGAGTAAGTTTATAATTTTGCCCTTACACGTGTAACACGTGCCACATTTTTCATTAAAAAAATGTTAAGGATTATAATCAATTGGACTAATTTGAGACAGTCATAAATTCAAGGTGAAAATTGAGTCAATTGAAATTATAGAAACCAAAATGACACAAGAACCAAAGTACAGGGACTACCGTTATAATTTGCCCAAGAAAATAAATAAAACTTGAGGACTGAGAAAGGAAAATGTCGCACATTTGTGCAAAATTAATATTGGTTTCAATCACATAATAAAATAGTAATAAATGATCATAGCACACATAGAGAACACAGATATATAAGATATATGTGACTCGGCGAGACGCCTACCCCTATGGTGGGGAAAAAAATCAAGATCCACCATATACAATAAGCATTTCCAGAATAATTCCGCAACTCTCTTTTGTGAAACACTCTAAAACGCTACCTGAAAATAACAATATATACCACTAAATCTTTGGGCCAGGGCTGCTCTTGGACCTTTTACTCTGGCTCGGAGTCTTGGCCCTCCGCCTTGGTTAAAAAAAAGTAAAAAAGAAAATAAAAAGAAAAAAGAGTACTCTGATGGCATGTTTGATTGGAAGGATTAGAACATGGGATTGAGATTATTAATCCGTGGGCCCAATTATCCCATGTTTGTTTTGACATTTGTTTTAGGATTATTAATCCAATAGATAATTAATCCAACAAATTTGTAGGATTATTAGTAATGGGGTAATTTGATAGGATTATTAATACCTCACTATTAGTCTTGTGGAATCAAACATGGCCTGAATGTACAGTAACACAAGACACTTCACAAAAGTACACAATCTCATTTCTCATAGCATTTTTTTCACTCTATACACAATTTGAAAAATCACAGTCCAACAACACGTGTAACTCTTCCTAAAAATCAATTGAAGAAAAAAGAGCCCCCATAACAACCAACATAACAATAACGGGTCCAACAATGGGGCTCTGTATTGGTAGACGTATTTTATTTTTGATTGTTTTGGTTTGGGATTTGCATAACCTTTTGGGATGTGGTTTTAAGCAATAATGATTTTTGTCCAAACTCCAGATTGACGTCTTTCTGTTATATATCTTGTACTACATTATCTCTTCAATAAAATTGATTTTTGACGATGTAAAAATAAATTACCTTAAATACTCGGCGTTGAAGACAAGGCTAGCTAGTCGTGAGGTTTCTGATTAACCAGTGAAGCTTTTGATCAAGAGGTTGAATCATACGTTCATGCAAATAGAAGAGAAACATATATAAGAACATCTTCATATAAAAGATATTGCTTCTTTCAATGAAGTACAGTATCAATTATAAACTACATATAGCAATATTCTTACCCTTTTAACTCTTATTGTGAATGGGCCAGTGATGAAACATTCCCTTTATGCACGAATTTATAGTGTTGACAACAAATTAACAGGAAAATATTATGGGTATTATACATTGCTCAGTGGAAGAAGAAATGTCATATGCTCAAACAGCAAAATGAGATGCCACTCCTCACTTCAAAGAATCCTACGAGCATTTCCGTACACTACAAAGTGCTTTTGGAATCAGAAACAGCACCAAAATTACTTTTATTACAGTTTGTGTCAGAAGTTGGGGCAATCCCACATCGCTTGTGGCGACGTAGACAGACCGACTTTACCTTATAAGCATACTGGCCCCTCAACCTGTTATAACGCGTTTTCTCTCGAGGAGGCACAAAACAGTGAGGTTGACAGGGCTTCGTGCCCACCTCGCCAAAGCGGACAATATTGTGGCAAGCAGGCAAGCGCCAAGCACGCGCATTTGGCGCTAGAAGAAGGGCCCATCTCTTCCCCCGCTGTTGCGGGCCCAATTCGCTGGGGGTTATGTTGGGGCAATCCCACATCCCCTAGGGAGACGAATCGACTTCACCTTATAAGCATACTGGCCCCTCAACTTGTTACAACGCGTTTTCTCCTGAGGAGGAACAAAGTGCGTGTGCTTGGCGCCTGCGTGCCTACCACAATTCCGCTTTGGCGAGGTGGGTGCAGAGCTTCGTCAGCCTCACGGCTTTGTTCCTCCTCAGAGGAAAACGCGTTGTCACATGTTGAGGGGACAGTATGCTTATAAGGTGAAGTCCGTCCGTCTCCCTAGGCAAGAGGAGGAGCCAAAGAAGGCCCAGAGGGGTCACGTGGCCCTCCTCAATTTTGAAGTTTTTTTTGTTCTTGTTTTTGTTTTGTGGCCTATACAAAAATTTTTTTTTTTTCTTAACATTTTCTTTGACTAAGGATTTATTGTATTGTTCACAATAAGTAATTATTTGATACTTTGGGAGCACTTTTGTGTAGTAGTCTAAACCAATAGTGTAGTGGGAAATCTTATGAATTGAATATAATTAACTCATTATTTTCAGGTAGTTGACAAACTACTTAGTGTGATTTGTGATTTATTATGCTTTGAGCATCACATAGGCAACACCATATGATACTCAAAGATTATTTAATAATTTCTATTCAAAACATATCATTTATAAGCAATATCATTTCTTTAATATTTTCTGTCAAATAAAAATTAAATAGATTTTATAATAATTTGTACCATAAATGATGCGTTTTTATTTTCTAAAATTAGAAATTTTGATTCATAATTTTTTGTGCTAAAATTACAAACTTATATCACCATCCCGCACCGAGCTATTATACACTACTATAGAGTTTTGATTTGTTCCTATTAATAATGATTTTTAATTTCTTATGCTTAAATTTAGCTCATAAAATTATTATTATCTTAATGTTAATCATGATTTTTTTAAATAAAAAATTGTAATTAATAAGTACTCCCTCTAAGTTAATTTCCTGACTCTTCTATTGTCCCCCGGCGATGTAGGATTGCCCTAACAAACCTGTGAAGCTTTTGATCAAGAGGTAGAATTACTACAACATATAAGAGTTTTAGAGACCAAATTTTTTAGTCTCTGAAAGTGATAATTTTGTTGCAAAAGACATTTAGGGACCAATTTCTATCATCGTGAGGATAGTCGCTAAAAAATCGTCCAAAAAAGTCAAAAACAAGGCTTTTACCGACAAAATTTTGAAAATGTTACTAATAAATAGACTTTTAAGGACAAAATAATTTGGTCTCAAAATGGTTTAGTTTTTGAGACAAAAAATTTGGTCCCAAAAAGATAATAATTTATCACTAATGTTCAAATTTCATTGCTAAAAATATAATAACAACATTTTTTGCAACAAAAATATTTGGTCCCTAAAAAATAATTTTGTCTCCAAATTTTAGTTTCTAAAACATTAATTTTTTGTAGTGAATCATATGTTCATGCACGGAGAAGAGAAACATATATAAGAACATCTTCATACGAAAGATATTGCTTCTTTCAATTCAGTACAGAATCAATTATAAACTACATATAGCACTATTCTTACCCTTCTAACTCTTACTGTGAATGGGCCAGTGATGAAACACTCCCTTTATGCACCAATTTATGGTGTTGACAACAAATTAACAGGAAAATATTATGGGTATTATACTTTGCTCACTGGAAGAAGAAATGTCATATGCTCAAACAGCAAAATGAGATGCCATGCCACTCCTCACTTCAAAGAATCCTATGATCATTTCCGTACACTACAAAGTGCTTTTGGAATCAGAAACAGCACCAAAATTACTTTTATTACAGTTTGTGTTAAAACAAAAGGGTCCCAGAAGATGGGCCAGTTCGCATAGCCTTCCTTCCTGGTGTACTTAGAAAGAAATGCCAACATTTGTGCCTTTGTAGCTCACTAACCTTTGCAGTAATGGCTATGTACTTAGAAAAAATAATCAGAAAAGTGTTTAGAATTTGAAATGTATGGATTGAAAATCTAAGTGATTCGTGATTAGATCAAGATTAAAATATTCCAAAACCCAAAAAAAAAAACCAAAACACACAATCTAAATCAACAAGCACTTACGAAAGTGATTTAGATTGTTTGTTTTTGTCAGATTAAATAATAAATCGACACAAAAGATTTTTACGTGGAAAAAACCACAATTGGACACCTCCAACTGTGATTAAAAAAACCACGGGCGAAACGCCATAAATCAATCCACTACTGAAGTAAAAATGTATTAATTAAAAAAATAAATATATGTATGTAAAATAAAATAAAAAAATTAATTGGAACATATTATTTAAAAAATATAATAAATAAATAAAATAATTAATGTATATTAAAATAAAAATATTTATAAAAAAATTAAAAAATTTGACGTATCCCCTGTTGTATTAGTATTTCTATTTTTTAGAAATTGTCGTGTTCCGTGTTTACGTGATAATAAATATATATATATTTTTTAAGAACTATTTAACGTATCCCCGTACCTGTATCTAAATTTGGATACATATCCACGTATCCTTAATTTTTAATTTTAAAGTGTCCGACCCTTAGATACGCACCCGCACCCGACACCCGTACCCGCGTCGATGTAACTTAGGATGCCACTCCTCACTTCAAAGAATCCTATGAGCATTTCCGTACACTACAAAGTGCTTTTGGAATCAGAAACAGCACCAAAATTACTTTTAACAGTTTGTGTTAAAACAAAAGGGTCCCAGAAGATGGGCCAGTTCGCGTAGCCTTCCTTCCTGGTGTACTTAGAAAGAAATGCCAACATTTGTGCCTTTGTAGTTTGTAGCTCACTAACCTTTGCAGTAATGGCTATGTACTTAGAAAAAATAATCAGAAAAGTGTTTAGAATTTGAAATGTATGGATAAAATTCATTTTCACCCACCAGTATCTGTGCTTGTCCTGTCAAACTACTGTGACCTGCTAATCTACGCTCGAGCTCAAGAGTCTCCGCTCGAGCGGACAGTACAAAAACAGAAAAACATAGTTTTGAATCCACACAAGATTTTGTCTCCGGATTTGACAACACAGGGACCTAACATGGATAAAATTCATTTTGGAAAGCCCATTCACACCAAGTTTAAATTTACACTATAATTTTAAATTACAAAGCATTTTTATTAACGTGTGTGTGTGAAAGAGATATAATTCCTTTATTTTCAGGTAAGAGTGGAATCATCTATACTATTGTATGAGGGCAACCTCTTTTAATTTGATTGGTTTCGCTTTCGTTATTTTTGCATATTTGCTTACTTCGGTTGTTTGGTTATCAATCTAAGATCACTTGGTTAGCACTCCAAGTTTTTGACTGATATGGAGTTTTTGTATTTAGTATAGTCCCTAACAATCCTAAACCCTCGAGGATTCGATACCACTCCAAAGACAATGACCTTGCAACTCATATCCTCCACACTGGGTAAAAATTTCTATTGGAGTTTCAAGATCCATATTCTCTTCAGTACCCACTTCTTGTGTCAATTTTTGTGGGTTTCCAAGTAAAAGAGCTTTGATGTATTGTATTACTATAAAATGGCCAATTATTATTGAAGAGTAAATGGTATTAAAACTTGTGTAAAAAAAAATTATTATCTTTGATTAATATTTGTTGTGAACTAAGAACCTATGTGAATCATTGGTTTAATGTAACGAAAAATTATATCTTCAGTCTACTATTTGTTCTGGCCATGATTCGTTTATGCACCTCATGCTAGGGTTTGAATATATGAATAAATAAATAAAGCGATAAATAGAAAATTACCATGATCTATTTAAATAACCATAATAAACTAAAGTAGTCTAAATCTTCTCGGTTTTATAACTTGCATTAATTATTCTGTATATTTGTATTATTGTATGTACTTGCATTGATTATTCTCAACTCACAGATCAAAGATGTTTCAACATTTGTAAGAGAGACTAGGAATTTGAACTCAATTAATTATCCATCAAACGGACAATTTGAAATCAAAGTCACAAAAATGGGGGCATTGTACATTACTGAGGTAGCTTCCCAGATTGAAAAATTGTGAACTTTGAAACCTCCAAATAACTAAAAAGCCATTCCCATTAAAAAAACTCTTCAATCAAATTTTATTGACTTTATCAGGATCAGAGCTCTCGCATTCGTAAACCAACCCAAACACACCAACTCTTTGTCTCCAACCCTAAATTCTTCTTTCACTAACACCAAAAACGGACGGACGCTCCTTGGGCATCATAGAGGGTAATAATAGACCTTACCCACCCCCACAACAAAAGACAGAGTGACCATTATATTTATCTTGCGAAATTCGTGGCCTTAGGATTCAAGCCTCGTCTTCCCTGTGAAAAGCTGATGGTGAAAAGACAAAGTTAAGTTTGAAGGAAGTGAAGTAGATAAAACAGATGAAGATAGTGAAGATGAAGTTATCATGGTATCAGAGCATTGATGCTCTCACGAGCTCCTGATCTATGGCAACTTCATCTTCACTATCTTCATCTGTTTTATCTTCTTCACTTCCTTCAAACTTAACTCTGCTGATATCCAATCTTTCATCATTTGTCAATGTAAAGCTTGATGGATCAAACTTTATCATCTAGAAAAATCAATTGTCCAACATTCTCAGAGCTACTAATCTTCTAGGTTTTGTTGATGGTTCAACACCGTGTCCTTCGCTTACAATTATAGATTCAACATGAAAGGAAGTGCCTAATCCGGATCATCTTCAATGGTGTATGATAGATGCTCATCTATTGAGCTGTATCACTGCTACACTTACACCACCAATCTACTCAACTGTGCTTCAGTATCAGAATTGCTTTGAGATCTGGTCTTCTCTGAACAAGAGATTTACATCTCTGTCTCGGTCTCATATCCATCAATTGAAGAACAAGTTGAATCTTGTTTCCAAGAAATCAGATACAATGGAGGAGTATCTCTCAAAGATTAAGGCCTTAGTCAGTCAACTGGAAATTGCTTCAGTAATCGTTGAAGATGAAGGTTTGGTGTTAATTACCTTGAATGGTTTGCCGTCTGAATATGATGCTTTCACCACAGCCATTCGTACTCGATCTGAAACTATAACTATGGATGATCTATCATCTCTGCTATGTTCTGAGGCGATTCATTTGGAAGCTAAACACAAAATAGTTGCAGAACCAACTGTTGCATTCTCTTCATTCAAAGGATCTGGATCTGTTAATTCTGTTTCACGAGCACCTCCTTTCACTTATTAAACAGGCAGATCATCCTATAGAGTCAAAGGAGGTCGAACTTCAGGATCATATAGAGGTAATAGTCGCTATTATAGCAACAACAGAGGCAGATGACGCAATTTCAATCAGGTCTCTTCTACTTCAGGTTGTCAAATTTGTGGAGGACTGAGTCATTCTGCACTTGATTGCTGGCATTGCATGGATCCTCAATAGATCAGTCTCCTTCACATGCTTCTACTCATTCTCCATCCTCTCAATTTTCTTCTCCTCAGCAACCTAGAGCACATCTTACATCTTCTTTCCCTGGTTCTAGTGTTTCTTCACATCTGTCTTAGGTTTCTTCAAATTTTTAGTCTAGTCCTTGGTACTTAGACTTTGCAGCCACTGATCATATTACCAATTATCTGAATCATCTCAGTAACTATCAGGCTTATCCAGGTTCAGATCATATTACCATAGGAGATGGAACTTCTATTCCCATTCAGAACATTGGTAAAGGTCTCCTTCCTACACTTCATTATTCTTTCAAACTCAATAATGTTCTTCATGCTAATTCTATGTCTTCTAATCTTGTTTCTGTTCAAAAGTTGGCTAAGGATAATAATTGCATTATTAGTTTTGATGAAGCCAATTTTGTGATTCACGAAAAAGTTACGAAGAGAATTCTTCATTAAGGATCTAATCTCAATGGATTATACCTTTTTCTTCTATCAGTCATTAACACATCTGCTTCTGCCGCCTTTGCTGCTCCAAACACAGCATCACTCACATCTGCTACTACTAATGTACCAGATTCTGTTGTTAATAAGTCACTACCTACTTCTAGTATTGTATGGCATAATAGATTAGGTCATTCTAGTAGTTTGAAATTTCAGCATCTTGTTCCTCATTTGCAGCTTACTACCAATAAGTCTGTTAAGTCACTTGATTGTATTGACTGCTGTGTTGCTAAAAGTCATCATTTACCTTTTCAATTATCTAATTCTTCTGTAAATAAACCTATCTGATCTCTCAAGGATTTTCCAACAGCAAGTGTGACTCTTCCTTGTTTATTCAGAAATTGGGCTCCAATATTACTATTCTTTTAGTCTATGTTGATGATATATTGCTTACAGGCAATAATCCTTCTCATATTCAGTCCCTTATCTCTCATATGCACACAGCTATTTCCATGAAAGAACTGGGGAACCTATCTTACTTCCTTGGTATTTCTATCACCACCACTGCTTCAGGCTATGTTTTATCTCAAACCAAATATGCCCAAGACATGCTCAAGAAAGCAGGTCTAGCTGACTGTAAGCCATGCTCCTCTCACACCTCTGTCAAGCCAACTCTTCCTCCCAATGCTGATCATTCATTTTTTGATCTTGCTCTTTATCGTAGTCTGGTTAGGGCTCTTCAGTATCTCACCATTACTAGACCTGACATTTCCTTTGCTGTCAATCAGTCTTGCCAACATATGCATTCACCCATAGTTGGTCATTTTGCTGCTGTGAAGAGATTGCTTCATTTTGTCAAAGGAACTCTTACTCATGGTCTATCTTATTCCCCTAGTTCCTTTGAAGTTCATGCATTCTCTGATTCCAATTGGGCTGGAGATATAATCAACCGTAAATCCACTTCAGGCTACTACATTTTTCTGGGTAGTAATCTTGTCTCTTGGTCCGCTAAAAAGCAACCAACCGTTTCCAGATCTTCCACTGAGGCAGAGTATAGGTCTCTTGCTCATACTGCAGCTGAGTTAGCTTGGATTGGCATGCTTCTTCAAGATTTATCTGTTGTCTCTCCTGTGCTTCCTACACTTTGGTGTGATAATGTATCTGCAATTGCCTTAGCCTCCAACCTTGTTTTTCATTCACGCTCTAAACACATTGAGGTAGATTTCCATTTCGTGCATGATCAAGTTCTGGCTAAGAAGTTGTTTCTTCAATACATTCCTAGCATTGATCAGCTGGCTGACATATTCACTAAGCCTCTCTCTATTTCTTGATTTTTGTATCTTAAAGCCAAGCTCATGTTGTGTCCATCTTCCCCCATTCACTTGCAAGGGGATGTTGAGGATACTAACTCTGCAGCTCACAATACTAACTCTACAGCTCACAGATCAGTTTCAAGTTCAGGTGAACCTTCAAAGCTTCGACAGATCAAGCCAGCTGAAAGAGTTCAAGAAGCTAGCTGAGGTCTCATTGTATAATTCATGTGCTGCAGCTATAGCTGAACATCTGCTTCAGTTAGTTAGATAGTTTGTTAGGTGGTTAGTTAGTTAGAGTTAGTTATCTACTTCTTGTATATATAGAGAGAGAGCTACTGGATATTTGTATGCATTAAAAATTGAGTTGAATGATATATGATTGTTCTGTGTTTTTCATCAAAAAGAAGTGGGCTTGGATTTAGGGTTTTTATAATAATGAAAAACCGACGTCGTTTTCACAATTTAAGAACATACTCACGGTAGGAGAATACACTTGAAATGATCAAAAGAATGCATAAAAATTTACTTCAAATCTATCAGAAGTAGGGTGAGATCCTCTAAAATGATTTTTCTTATCATGCCATGTACATTTAAAATTAATATAATTTGTGTTACACTCAATGAATGTAGATTATTCAATATTTTTTAATAAATTTTTATAAATTTGTAGCATTGTTATTTTTTTATTTAAATTCAAATGACTCTATTCTTTATATTTTTTATCAGCGAAAAAATAATGTTAATGAAATTAGAAAGTAAAAGATTACAAGTAAAAACCTAAGATTATAAATAGGGGAGTAGAAACTGTTAATTAACTTGATTAAAAACTATTCTTGTTTGGTGAGGTTGTGCTAAATTAAACTTCACAAGGCACCATGCTAAAATGCTGCTTTCTAAGAATTAGAACTATTTTGAGAACTTCAAGTTTTAGTCAAAATAGTTAAGGGTTTATATATATATATATTTACATTGTAAATTTTTAAAAAAAATTACTAAAAATTCAATTATCAAATAGTCCATAACAAACATTATTAAGAAATAAAATTATATATTTTAGTGATAATATTATATTTTTTTATTGAAATATTTTCTAATCAAGAAGTGTATAACATTATTACAAAAATGCATAGTATTAAAAAGATATATAACTTCATTTTTTAATAATAAATTATCGTAATTCTACCAAAAATTACATAACATATATTAAAAATATACAAAAATACGTAGCATTTTTTTTTACATATATTCTATAAAAATATAAAAATCTTCCTCTAGTCTTTTAGTTTATAAAAGCCGTAAAATTATCTCACAAAAGGTGTTTTGGTCATTAACTCAATGTAGATGTATATAAAATGTCTAAAATAATATTTTTTATTGAGTTTAATTACTATTTTTTTTTTCAATTTTACTTAACAAAAATAGATAGATAGTTTATATTGATTTTTTTTTTAAATTAGAGTTTATATTAATAAAAGTAAAAACTCAATGCTTATATGCTATAAGAATTAAATCTTAAGATTTTTTTAATAATTTTTTCAAAATAAAATTGGCAAGGTTATCGAATTTATTAATAGGAAGGACACGGGCTATATGTCAGGGGTTGTAGGCTGGTTTTTGGTAGCCTAACTAGATCGGCTGAGTTGCGGGTTCTATTCTTCAGCATACGCCCAGACTATACATTTTAAGGCCGAGACGGACCGGCCCATACTGAAGTATAGCTAGGCTAAGGCTCAATGGGTTGAGCCCAGTTTAGTCATGGGCTCTAAGCTTTTTTATGAGGCTTACCCAAAAGTTTGAATGGTTTAAAATTTGTAGTTTATAATTAAGCTGTTTTTTATTGGAAGATTTGATGAGAAAAATGAAAAGGGAAAAAGAAATAGGAACAAAATGAGAAACAATTGATAGGATTCAAATTCTAAGTTATGTTTGGTTGAGTTGAAAAATGGAGAAAGAAAATAACATATTGCTGTGTTTGTTTGAGAGATTTGAGAAAGGGTTTGAAAATGGAAAAGGTGTGTGAAACTAGATGAAATGTAAATATATTTTATTCACATTCCACCTACCTTTTTTATTTTCCATTCTAAATCTCTTTCCAAATCCCTCAACCAAACACAGCCTAAAGTGAACTAAAAAGACAAAAAGTGAGATTATATTTTCCTTCCACTTTATGTTCCTCGGTATTTTTCATTATAACCAAATAAAAATGAGATTATGTAACGCCTTAAAAAAAAAAAAACATAAATAATCCATTCATAAGATCTATAAACATAATACAATGGTATATTTCATTCATCAGAGTTTATATTACAAAGGGGTGTTACATGCATTATACATTTATAAATATCCATCTTGAATCTATAGCATGTAACACTAGATTAACAACAACAAAATAAATGCCCTACGGGCTTA